CTTTGCCATATAATAAACATCTTATTAACCGAGCTAAGTCGGTCTGTATGGGAGAATCTTGACCTCGGTCGTGTGTACAGACCTCACTGCGTTTGTGCTCACGACCGAGGTCAAGATTCTCCCATACAGACCGACTTAGCTCGGTTAATGAGAGCTAAGTATAAATTATATAATCCAAACCTACAAAAATATTACAGAGGCACTGCTCTACCTTTTTGTTCTATTCTTACAAAGTTATGAGCTGTCAAAAACCTGAAAACTGGTACGAGCCACCTTAAATCTAATCTTCCGTTTGCCGGGGAGCTGCGCTGAGAACGGTCGGTAAATCGCGCGCGGTCTGCGATGTTTACCTCACGTGACCAGTTGCCCCAAAAAGGCCTGGTAACAAAACATCCAATATGGCGGCTCGGTGAAAAGTCTGCAAAATATTTTTGCACATATCTTATTCTTAAACCACCCAAGCCTCGATTCATAAGGGTAAAACTTTGTTAAAGACTATCTAAGGCCGATTATTCAACGTACGTCTGAAAAATTCGTTTTTTGGGGTGGTGATTTTAGATTTCTCGCGACAATCCTCGTGGAGTCTTCGAGCTACATGGATGTTGATCAGTTCTTGTCAACTGTCTTCCCATCGAAAAGGGACGAAAATATCGCCACCCCGAGGTAACTAGCAAAATTTCATACTGCTTGATTTTTTTTTTTGGATGTTTATTAGTGCAACGGAGGGACGTGAGATCACTTTGCAAGGAAATTAATCGTGACAAAATCACTCGTAATCATATAACTTGCAGTGCAGAAATTTTTTTTATAATTGCTTGCATGCAAGCTTATTTCATTTAACCATTACTCTTATTTCTATGCGTCAATGAACATGCCTATAGTTATGTATGATTAGCAATTATTTTCTAAGATCAGTCATCCAGAAAAATTAAAATGCGAAATTTAGTTTGTAAGGTGCTCGAGTACCATACATGTACAGATGTAGGACAATGTAATAACAGTCCTTTCCTGTAGCCCAGGGAGAGTGGATTTTTTCTGCTGTACTGGGAAACTAACATTTGTTTTTGAATATTTAGTTGACATTATTAACAAAAGGCTTTCAGGTTAGCATGCACTGACCCCAACTTGCTCATCAAAGGGTAACCGGCAAAATTTATGTTTTCTTCACTCTGTGATATTCCCACTTTTGTAGACGGCCGTTATTGGAGTATGGGACCCTTCAGGATCATATTGAAGAAATTCTTGCTCAGTATGATGAGGAGCCTAAACCAGGTATGTACATCCATTATATCTGACAATACTTATTTTAAAATAAAATTATTACTCCTTAACATGCTCTTGTTAAGTTATTCAAATCAGTCATTATTAATGAATGGAAAGAAACAAAATGATGAGAATTAACCCTTTGGAGCCCACATTAATTTTTAAGGATTTCAGAAAATTTTGACCCAGATAATTTAAAACATTTGTTTTTACCTTTTTAACATAATCAGGTTCTGCAAAAAACATTACGATCCTTGATAATTGCATTTTATTTTGAGTGCAATTAGTAACGTGTCTGATGAGACATGAAACCATCATAAGAGTTAAATTTTGAACAATTGTGTCACGCCATACTCAAAATAGAAAAAGTTATTAACCTTGAAGGCCAAAAAATGAAAATGAAAATTCCGATAACTACACAGAATGATAGAATAACTATCAAGGATTATTCTGACACCTCAGTTGACATATTCACTCAACTGTAAGACTTCCTATGCCAGACTTCACAAAACTGGGTACTCGTGTGACAAATCACTTAGTCTTAACAGATGTTACTGAATATCATTGTTTTTGAACTTGAGCTGGGTTAAATGTTTTGTCCACTTGGAACCATCAAAAGAATAGTTATACATGGCTTTCCTGCTGCTCTTGAATCGTAAAGATCTAGCCCCTCTGCTTTTTTGTCCCCAATAATGACATTCTCAAATAAATCTGGCTCCCGAGGCGGCATTTGTGTGTTAAATCATTGTCATTGTCACTTTTGAATTCTTCTATGTCAGATTCAAAACCATTTACTGGAATAGCGAAGTTTCTATGCAAATAATGAAGTATTTCTTGAGCGATCGCTATACTTCACAGACCTGCTCATGTTTATAAGTGGTCTTTAAATCATGTCTTGTCACCAAAAGCAAAAATTTGTGAAAAAAACTAGATGAAAACAACTCTAATGGGACTGAAATGGTGTCTCCATGTTTGTTTTGTCTAATTTGGCCATTTGGGAGCTGGTAATGACTAAGGGGAAGACTGCTGGTTAAAGGAAGTGCTGGTTACTCTGCTGACTGATATATGGGACACTGGCCCCCAAAGGGTTTTAAAGGAATTCAGGCTGGGATTATGTTGCATTTTACATGTTACAGAGTTGCGAATAAAGCAGACTAGAGATGCATTCTACAATGTTTAGTTTTAACCCCTGAATAAAGTGACTTGGGCCTGGTTGTTCAAAGTGTGGATAATGCTATCCACCAGATAAATCGCTCTCCACCGGATAAGTATTGTCAAGGCAAACCATGCTATCTGCTGGATAGTGATTTACTTTTTGAACAACCAAGGCCTGTATATAACTATGTATGTAAATCTGAAATATACTTCATGTAATAATTTGTACAGGTTCCTGAAGTAAACGGTTCCAAGATTCTAATACCAACCTCATGGAGTAAAATAATCAGAAATATGCCAGGATTAAGAGCAGTCAGTTATTCAGATATGGGATGAATTGCAGCCTAACAGTGATTTTGTACATGCTGTGACTTGTTTTGCTTACATGTACATTTGTTAATGGCAATACACTGCAAGTAATCTTAAACTACAGGATATGTCTCTGAATGGTCACTTTAAAATAGGCCTTATCATGGTTTTCAACACCATCTAGACGGGTATGCAATTAAAGTGGTCAGATATTGCAGTGTTTATATGGGAATCTGATGGATTGGGTAGGTGCGATTCGCGGGTAAAAAAGATTACAGACAAAAACAAATGTATGGGACATTAGAAAAATTAACTGAGCATCTTCTAGCCAAGCTACATCCTTCAGACTTGGTGAATCTATGTACAGGCTTCTACCCAGTATTTTAATGTTGAGATTCACAAATTGTGTAGAATTCAATTTTGGAAAAAGTTATTTGCCATTGGATTCCCATACAAACACTGTAATTTCTGACCACTTTGCCTAACCATCAAGATGGCGTCAAAAACTGTGTTAAGGCCTATTTTAGGTTACTGTAGACCTTCAAGGGCTGACTTTGTCCAAAATATTTTTTCACGCTAAATTCACGACTACTACATGTACTTAATTTAAAGTCAAGGTAAAAGAAATTGATTTAAAACTTAAAATGCGAAAGAGTTAAAATCTGCGACTATACTATTGTTGTCTAATACCTGTATACTGTCTAGAGCTGGATGCTGAAGAAAGAGCTTTAACAGATGGAAGAATTGGACCAGAGACAGTAGGAATTGATAGAGCTAGTCTTTGTGGCTCTATGAATATTAATGATGGCATCGAGGTACATGTACTTCAAGAAAAGTATTTATTTCAATGATATTGCTGGCTAATGTTTAGTTTTGAGTACATGTAATTTCGAGTTTGGTGTTTTTGTCACCCCACGCTTGATGCGCAAAGTGGGTGCTTCAATCTTAAATTTTGAAGATGTAATTATTAAACTGAGTGAAATCCCTTTTGAATGGAGACTCTAGGGCACTTCCCTGACCCCAGTTGTTCAAAGGGTGGATAGTGCTACTGAACAACAGGGAGGTGATGTCCTTTTAATAGAGGGTTGTTACATGTATGACTGCCTAATTACAGTAAATAATGTTAACAACTAACATTTTGCAGTTTATCTATTATTAATAATGGTAAAGCATTCCAGATCGACAGTGTTGAATTTGTCCCCTGTCAACGATAAGTTCCCCTTTTTGAGGTTATAAGATTGCTGTGGCCAAATTAAGTTAACAGATGTCTTGTGTAAATTTGTGTTGTTTACTAGATTGAAAGCAAAAGCAACTTCGGCAGTGTTAGAGCAAATCTCTGTGTTTGCAAAGGTATTCATGAATTCCTTGATAATATATGATTAATATATGTAAATTAGTTTAGGTAATCGGACGGTTTCAAGTTCAATTTGGAATTAATTTGCACTTGTGAGTTTTTCAAAAAGCTGAAATTGCACTCGCCGAAGTGGCTCATGCAATTTCAGCTTTTTGAAAAACTCACAAGTGCAAATTAATTCCAAATTGAACCAGAAAAACTGTATGATTACTTATTAATAACATAAACATGAAAATATTTGCGTAGAGGAAGTGCCAGAAGACCTTTCTTGAAGCCATGTTTTCTCATTTGAAAAAAATTTTTTCAAAGTTTCTGCACAAAATTTTCGTCCTCATTGTACCTAATATCATTGTCTTCAAAAATTTTCTATTGTCTTTCAGCCAATCATAATTCAGGATTACAATGTGTAATTTGCACTGGTGTTACACTTTTTGCACTGGTGTTACATTTGAACTGCCTTGCCCTCAGCCAATCAGAATTGAGTAATTTTTTCATGTATATTATTAATTAATAAATTATGAAAAATAATATAGATGAGTCAGTTGCAATCTACTGTAAACACTTACTTATTAGATTGCAAAATGGAATTTGTAAGTAAACTTAGAATATAGCATGCACCTAAATTTATACTAACAGTATTCATGACTGTGTATTATTTTTATAAAATATACAGTCATTTTCAAGGCCACAAAGTGTTTTGCTAGGAAAAAATGCTTGAATATATATCGTGTTCTGATCAATGTAGGGGGCAGAGGGCTTGTTTAATGAGGTAGACCGCTGGCACCAATTGGAGTGCCAAATGGACAAGCCTCTAGGAAGGGGCATACTCCCCCAGAAAAATTTGAAATTGGCATGCTCTGAAATGCCATTTTAAGCATTCTCTTGGAGATATTTTGCCCCAAAAAACTGTTTTGGAAAAGGTCAAACTACCAAGAATATTAAGAGATTACAGAGACTGTCTTTTCAATTTTTTATATACATGTAGTGCTAGAGTAACTGAAAACATATACCACACCCTGACCCCGTGCCCCATCTCTATCTACAGACTTGACTTGGCTGTCCTGAGACAAGGACAGTCAAGATTCAGTTACGTTCCAAAACAGGTGTTTTCTCCATACATGTATGTAAATTACCACTTCACAGGTATTACACATATTTCACAAAAAGTACATGTAGACAACTAAGAAATTGAACTTGCTGTTTTTTAAGCCAGCAGCTGGCACTTAATGAGAACCCTGGAATATATAGTAGTTAAATTTTAGTTTCTGATTGTATTGTTTTCAAGGCAGGTGGATGTATGAGATATTGTTAGGGTCCAAAGGGATCATGCAGCTGGGATGGGCGACCTTGCAGTGCAGGTTTACTAACGAGGTCAGTCTGGAAAAATGATGTGAGAAAAAAAGGTCACCTTTATCATGATTCCAAAAATTTAATGACTAAACTTGCACCAGGCCAATGGCTATTTGAAAGATACATATAACAAGTTGATCTGATTTGAGAAGCCAGGAGGTCAAATCCTCACCATGATTTTTTTGTTGTTGTTATTTCTATTCCCCCACTGAATGGTTTTTGAAATTGCAAGTCAGGAGTTATTAGGGGTGACAAACTGCAGGATGTTTTTTTTTATTTATTGAAGGAGTGTGTAAAGCTCAACTGGAATGGGGGTGCAAGCTAAACAAAAACAAGGGAAACAACAATGAAAACAACACCTCTTCTGTGAATGTTTGGTACATATATACTGTACAGTGTATGTGTGATGATTCGAACAATTTTAAACTTTTGATAATTTACACAGTTGAACACTGCTATTTCAAACTCTCAGGGGAAGTGAAAAATACAATCAATTGTATGGTGCACATACATGCAGTTTGAAATAGTGGGAGTTTGAAATAGCCTATAGTAAAGGACTGAAGGGCAAGTTCGAGATAATGGGGAATTCAAAGTCTAACTAAGTTCGAATTAGCGGGATCCAACTGTACTCTTTTAGCATTAAATCCAACAGCAGCAGCAAAACTCGGTCTACAGAAATTAATTCAGAGTGTGGCTGGAGTAAAACTGCTGGCCTGGTGAATTTTTATTAACTTTGAAGGGAGGCGTGGTGACCTCATCGTTAGTGCGCTCGTCTCCGGATCGAGTGGTCCGGGTTCGAGCCCTGGCCGGGGACGTTGTGTTGTGTTCTTGGACAAGACACTTTACTCTCACAGTGCCTCTCTCCACCCAGGTGTATAAATGGGTTTTATTTAAAATTGTTTCAATGTTCAGGAATGGATGGCAGGCGATGTTATTGGATGCTGCATCGATCTAGATGAAGGCACAATTTCTTACAGCAGGTTGGGTGACTTAATGTAATAATTGCGTTAGCTTCTTATAAAAAACGATTTCAAAAAATATTTAAGCAGAAAAATTAATGCAAGTAAAGTAACATGACGTTTCGACGACTTCATGTCAAATTAATTTAATTTATTCATTTGACAATGATGACATGAAGTCGTCAAAATGTCAGGTTACTTTACATAGTGCATTAATTTTGCTGCTTAAATTGCATTAGCTAGTAGATATTGTTACAGATATTGAACAGATACATGTAGTAAAGGGTTTGAACCCAGGAGTATCAGTAGTTCACCTTGTGTGAGCATGTGGGCAAGGGTTAACTTCTAAAAAGAACTGCAATTGTTGGTGACCAACAACAGTTCTTTCAGATCTACATGTACCCTCACCCAGATGATCATACAAGATGAATTATTATTACAGATATTAGTAAATAATTCAATTAATTACAGACAACGTACATCTGTAACCCTTTGAATTGAAAATCACCTAGCTGGAAATGAAAAGATTTTGATATGGTATAATCATACCCAGCTTCTGTAAAAGAATGACTTGGCATATTTTCCATAATAAATAAAGTGTAAGGATTGGAGCCAATCCGAGGACATGTAGTGGCAATGTAACTGTTATATAAATGACCAAATACAGATGAATATCAGGTGTTAATTATTATTGTTATTATAATAGTGTTAATTGTAAAATGATAACTGAGATGCATGTAATACTGGTTGACTGAATCTTTTTTCTACAGTAGGTGAACTGCAAATGTCATTTGGCATCCATGACATGCCAATGTTCTTCAGAACCTTTTTTGAATTAAAGTGTACATCAAGAAAATCGAAGACTGAAAGACTTGCCCTTCAAATTTTTTTAACAATGACATGTAGATCTTGACTGAATGCAAGTGATGACAAATTATAAAATCCAAGACTTGCTGAGATGCCATGATCCTTGTTTGAAAATCTGCAACTCATGAGACTTGCATGTACATGTAGTGATCTAGACTCTGAGACAGAAACTACTAGAAAAATGAAACTTTGCGGCTCAACATAAAGGATTCCATGATTTTATACGTAATAACCTAAAGCTACCATTTAAAACCCCTAATGCAAATTAGTGGACCCTTAACGTAACATTTTTATTTAAAAATTTAGCCTACTCACTTTTTAAAATCGAAGTGGGTGTTGGTAATGTTCTACCTTCAGTTCTGATTTTTTTTTCTTCTCCAAGGAATGGACATTCTTTAGGCATGGCATTTGACAATGTGCAGTATGGTCCAGGTCTTGCTTATTTCCCTGCAGTCAGTCTTTCTTACGGCGAATCCTGCCAGATGAATTTTGGGGCAGCACCTTTCAAGTATCCTTTTGTCTAATATTTTGAAGTGTTGAACAGCTGTAGTGAAACATCGTCTTTTAAACATTAATTCTTATGTTATAGTTTAACTTCACAAGTAAGCAAGATGAATCAAATCCTGTACCGTGATTGGCTACGCAAGTGGTAAGATACAGTTTTCTTGCCTGCTTGTGATTACCCGCTGTATCCTGCAAGAAATTGAGGGTACCTGAGTAAAATAAATTGATTGTTCAGTCACTATTCAGCCATCTAGACCTTATACGTGGTACATAACTCATGCAAATAGTTACCTTACCTACTTGTGCACAGTCAAACAGAATCTACAGTCTTAGGCTAGAATAGGACCAAGTCAAAATGAAGGCAAATGCACTGGTCAATACTTTTAGAATGGACTGACAGTATTAAAAAGCTGTTTGGCTGAGTGGTCAGCACATTGGTCTTCAAATCTAGTGGTCCTGTTCTGACCTCTACCTGGATTTGTTTCATGGTAGCTTTGAGTTCAGATCCTCGACCACAATAGTAAATAGCCAACTGGTTTGCCTCCAGCCAGTTGGGATTCTCAACAATGTTTAGTTTGAATTATTTGGTTTTAGTTGTTTGCTCGGCTCCACTAGCCTTTGTGCTATAAACACTGCCAAGGGAAGATAAAGGTTATTATAAATTTATTTGTATTTTGTATTTTTTTTTTTGTCTTTTGACAAAGATAAAATCTTTCTACCTGGCTCTTGTCACATATTTTTTTTAAAGACAGAAGAGATGCTGAGAGCTCTAGACACTGAAATTAAATTGTAGTTATAGCCTGAATTGTTCCATTCAACAGTCAGCTGGCATTTTTCTTAACTGTTGAAAGATTTCCTGTTGAAGATTACAAGCCTCTTCAAGATCCTCCGTTCTCAGATGTAGCCAAAGCTATGGAGCTTACTTCGTGTTTGGAGAGACTTTTACCAGCTGTAAGTTTAACCTTAGAGCTTTCTTAAATTGAGAACTTTCTAAATAAACAAGCTTGACCCAATTTAGACGCTGCTATCAAATGAACATTTTCATCCTTGTTTTTCATGTGTCATCGTTACTTCAAATATCTGGTCGACGTTTTCAAATTCTGTGATCATTACATCTTTGAAAAATCGCTAATAAGATTAATAAGAACTTACAGTACCACACAATGCATTCTCTTGATCGTTTATTAGACTTAACAGGTACAAGACATTTTAACAGTATTTTAACATCATGTTCTAGAAGTGTCAGACTATGACTACAATTTAATTTCAGCATTTTAACATCATGTTCTAGAAGTGTTTTGTGCAAAAACGAAGGTACTTAGTCATAACTTAGCAACGCTTTGACCAAACCGGCAGAAGAATCGCCATGATAGCTCCCCTTAGTTAAGGAACAGTTGCTAAAATTTCAGCTTCCTTTCTTTGTTTTACGAAAACATCCATACCCCTCCCATGGAAGTTTTCAGTTTAACCCCCCCCCCCCCCACCACCACCCCCAATGGCCCCTCTGGATATTCTGGTTGTGCTTCGTACTTTCCTTAAAAAAACTTTGGCTTTTGAAACCTCCCCCTTGGAATTTCCAATAACCTTCCTTGTACGGATATTTTTCTGGCACTACACAATATACATCCGATCTTTCTTGACAATTTGTTTCCTACGATAATTATTAACATAAGATAACTCCTCGGTATGTGTTATCGCTTATTTTCTTGTTGTTTTTATCTCACAGCCAGACAGAGTTCCTTGGTTACCGCCTTCTCTTCATGGTCGCTCTGATACTCTAACTCTCCTTACCACTGCGCATGTCTTTGAAAAACTGGGGCCTCTGTTGGTAAATAATTGTTATGCTATTTTCTGACATTACTAACAGTCTTAGGTTGCTTGTTTTTTTGGGAGAGTAGTAAGATATGTAGCGAGCTAAACACACTAAACGGTTTAAGCCTTTAAGCACATGTCACGTAATTTATTTGGTGCTTAGCTTCCAGCAGTTTGGCCATTCAAGAGAAAAAAGGAGGAGTTGTTGGACACAAATTAAGCCCGTGAAAGTGAACTTCAGTTACCCAATTTATCAACCGCATGGTGTAACCATCAATGTAATAAAAGATATAAAGTTCTCAGTTTTTAATCGGGGAGTTTAAGCAACAAAAATTATTCAGATTTTCGACTACAAATACAACATCACTTTTATGAAAGATGAAAGATGAGTGGTTTTCATTTGAGTATCGAAAAGTAATTGTACTTACTACACTACACGATTGGCTTAAAAAAACTCGCGCCAATTTTCCATCCAATCAAAAGTAAAACCAAAACCGATCGTTACTCGTTCGCACACGTTTTCCCGCGCTTCGCGTCAGTTACCTGTAACTACTTCGAGTTTTGATTGGTTGACGGTATTGTCTTTGTCCTTTGTAATTGGCTAGAGTGATAACTTTGGTTTTGGTTTTACGACACTCAATTGAAAACCGCTCTAAACATGCGTTCCGTTTTTCCTGGGGCGGGGGAAAGGTTGAAGATACTCGCCGCCTCTTCCAGAGGTATAAGTAAAGGATTTTGGTCTCATGTAGGGTGTTCATGAAGAAAAGCCACAATTTTTAGCTTTTAAAGTATTTTTAAGGGTGCACTCAAAGAAATATTAACAGGAAAAAAAAAAAAAANAAAAACGCTTTTATTTCCGTTTTTGGGCTCGATTTCTGCGGGTAGCCACGCTCAGATTAGTTTCTAGTAGGGGTTTAATTTAAACTTTCCGACGATTATCCCCGACCTTTTCATATGAGTTCCACCTCCCCCCTCCTTCCCTGGGCTAAGGAATCTCAATCTCGCATGGTACCTACTGATTGCTTGATGTAATCTGTACTTTATGATGCGGTATTTTTTAGACTGGAGGTTATGTGGTGGAAGAGGTGCTCCTGCCGTTTTTGCTCAAATCCTGCTCTGGAAGTAATCCATTGGATCATCAGCCAGGCGTGCACAAAATACTGGATCTTATGTGGGTGTGCATGGAGGTAAGCTCATACATATTTTAAACAAGTAGCAAGATTGACGGAATCTTAGTTGAATAAAGGTGCAGCATTTGCTGTAATAGCGAGGTACACGTATTGGAATTTTCACAGGCGGGTAGAACTATTTGAACTGAACTGGGCAATTTGCCTGGTGCGCAGCTCTTAATGAAACCCCTGTATTATATGGGTTCGTAGTCTCTTACCTGCCAAAGTCGCCATCAGCAAAGTTCCAAAAAAGTTTTCTTTGAAAGCTTAGTAACTTTTTGTGTGAATTTTAGTCTCATTTTCTTATGCGTTTCCTTGTTGTTGGTTTGTCTTTAGGAATTTGAAATCGAACCATGTCTGAGCCACTTGCTGAATGCGCTTATCAAGTTTTACTGGTTTCAACCGGTTACGTTGGATTTCAGGTCACAGGTATGGGTACCGAACATCTCAGTGTGATTTTCGCGCAAACCAAGAGATAATGCGAGAGAACGACTTTCTTACTTAAACTTCTTCCAATGGTCAGTCTTGAAAATTTATTTATAGACGGCAGCCATTTTGTAGAAGATGCTTGATTGGTTAAACGTTGTCACTCATTTTTATATATCATGACTGCATCCGTCGCTTATCAAAAACACGCCAAAAATCTGATGTTGTCGAGCTATGACGTCTTATCTTGTGACGTCATTGTTCGTGAGCTCAAGAAATGTGGGAAATTTGAAACTGGTTTGGTTTCAAGTTCACAGTGAACTTCAGAGGAAAACCACTCCAAATGAAAAGTTAGCACTTTCAAGATCCTCCAGGACCCAAAACTTAAAAGAGAATGGCTTATAAAAATGAAAAAAAGAATGCTTCATGCCCTCGAAGCATCCGCGCGTTTGTATAAAAAACTTTACCGAAGACAGCTTCGAACAACATCTTGTAGTAAGGAGTTTGCTGGGACCCTCTTTCAAGCCTCGTCAACTTGTAGTCAAGAAAGACGCGGTACCGTCGATTTAGAACTTCACTATGGAACGTTGCAAGCCGGCAATTGGACGAAAAACAACGATAAACAAGCGAATAATGTCCGCCGAACAGCGGGCGAACTCGTCTGCCATTTCCCAAGTAAAATAAGGTTTGTATTTAGGTCCAAAACCTTCCCCACGAAAGCCTCACTGACGCAGAAACGCAGCAATGTTCAAGACAACAATGACGTCACAAAGCAGTCTCAGTTCCATTCCTTCCGTTAAAGTGCGAGGTCATTTTGGAAACGTTTACGTGAAACCATCGGCTGTCTTCGTACGTTAAACTTTTTTACTCCTTTTCACGGCTCAGAAAGAAAAATATCCTCGTAAGTTTCCTTTTACATGTTTTTTTTTTTTAAACATTTCGTCGCTATAAAGCGGCTGAAGAAAAGATGTCTAAATTTTGGTTCATTTGACTTTTAAGATATATCACCAAATTCTCAGAGGAAACCTTGAGATAAATCTGCAAGAAAAAGGTAGGAGAATTGATATGTACGTCGAATATTTAAACAATTTTCTGTTATGTTCTTTTCTCTCTTCATCTCCAGGTTCGTTGTCTGTCCTTGGCCCTTGCTATCCTTAAACACGACAGGACTCGCAGGCTTTGGATTGCTTGCAAAGCATATCCTTTGTCAGTGAAATTAATTAACTTAAGCGCACTATTTTGGTTGTAAAAGAACAAAGCCTACTGCCCCTCATGTCGATAACCTGATTCCTGCCCCTTTTGTTCAGAATTGCCACTCTCCTATGGTTGCGCTCGCATTATGAAGCAAAAATGGTAGCCGTTTGGAATACATTATACGTCCCATCCGGAATCACAAGGGACTTTATACCATGACATAGAAAATACAGCCAATCAGAATACAGGAAAGCTGTTGTACACTTGACGGTATTACACCTAACGCTCCGTTATTATTACGCCCAACGTTGGCCACTGTATATTTTATAGCATGGTATGAAATAGTTATGCAACGCTCTCTCGTGGTATACCATGCATACAAATGCTTGTATTTTTTTGTTATACACACGAAACTTTTAGAAGATACAAGTGACTCGTGGGATATTCCATGGTGTACCATTGGAAAACATTGCATAACTTGGATGTATAAAACAGGCAGACTATCTGTTTTAAGCTTATTTGCCATGACATGCACTTGTGTGAATGTTAAATGTAAAAGTGTTTTTTAAGGTTACTTCCCACCTTCAGAGGCCAAAAAAATCGTTTTTTCTTTTATTTGACAAAATTTAAGTTCGTCATTTTATCTAGTGTTTCCAAAAGAAAAACATTAAAAATCTCAAAAAGCGGCCGAGTTATTCAGAAAAAA